TCCTGCAAATTTATATTTAGCAAATCCTGTCATTCTTACATCCAGAAACAACAATTTGCTTATCAGTGGCTCTACATAGGCAGTATGTCTACACATTGATCTAATATTTTGTGCACTCAATATATCCCATATTTGAGTATCACCATTACTCTAACCCTATAGAAAATATATTTGTTTTTGCATCAATATAATTAGAAAATCATTTAATCTCTTCTGTGTTTGTATTCATGTTGATTTAACCCTAATATCATTCTTACAAATACTACAATTTGCTAATTCCATGTCAAATGTTCTACACAAGCAGTATGCTCATTAATCTAATAAATTTATGCACTCAATATGTCCCATATTTAAGTATCACCATCACTCAATCCAATAGTTAACTGATCTCCAAGGAAGTTTTCAATTTTTATTTATACTATTATCAGTATTATTATAAAGTCATCCATCTAGACTTCACATCAGAAATTAACATCTTGATCCGAATCTTCCACATAAGCAACAATTGCTTGTTCTATGTCAATTCATTGATCCAATCGCTTTTATGCACTCAATATGTCTCATATTTGAGTATTGCCATTACTCCAATGAAGACTGGAAATGTTCATAATATTCCATTGCAGTATCCCAGAAAGACTCAAATACATCACAAAGTTGCATTACATTGGCTTTGAGATATATATCATGATAATCCCCAAATGTTTTACATTTGAATCTTTTCCATACTATCTTAGCATGTCCATAGTCTTCCAGTGTTATATTACCCCCAAGAGTACAATGGAAGCATTCTATTGAGGGGAGTTCTTTTACATTAAATTTTTCAGGTGAATCTACCCAATCATATGGATATACCCCCTTTCTTAGTAATAACATTACTTTCTCTTTATCCCCTACAAGTTTATTGAGAGTCTTGAATGCTTCAGGTCTTCCCATGCATCAGTTTTTATCAATTCTAAATTTATGTTCTTTGCATTCCTTATTATTGCATTCTACCACTCCCAAATTTTCTACTAATTTTCATAGTCCCATGCTCATAAATTGGAAACTGTCTATGAACTTGAACTTACCTATTGTCATTGTCTTATATTTTTCAATATTTTCTGTTATTACTGATATATGATCACTGCTAGCTTTACCTGCTGATTGACATATTAAATGTGAATCATATCCTCTGAAGTTATGGAATATAACTCAAATTTGATCTCTTAC